CACACACACACACACACACACACACACACACACACACACACACACACACACACACACACACACACACACACACACACACACACACGTGTCTCAGATGATTTATTCAACAATAAGTTGGTTTTGAAAAATTAAACTTCAAAACTAATAGACCAACACTGATTTCTGATAAAACCACTGTAGTATTTGTACATGAATAGTCCTAGAAATAGGAGATGTTTCATCTTGTGGACTTTTGTTGTTTCTGTCCACAATGTTAATAAATTAATAAAACACTGACATAGTATCTTGTCCACGGCTTCAGCCTCATTACAGACTCCTTCAAATCAATAGAATCAATTTCTCCAAAAAGGAGTAGACAGAAGGTTATTGATGAAAAAAAAGCTAGGATATCACCTCACCTGTGATCTATCGTTCACTAAATCAATTTTGTTTAAATAAAAGAAATGGTTGTGGAGCTTTAACCAACAAGAAGAATGCCTGCTTTAGCTTTTTTTTTTCTCCTCACAATCAGGATCAAATGAAGCTGCAGTGGGAGGAAAAAAAAACCCTATCAATATTCATTACCATGCACAGCTAGAGCCGGTCTGACGGGGTCCAGCCTGCTCTGTGTTTCATCAAGCTAAGTAAGATCTCATTCACTGAAAGGTCTTAGTCCAATAAATCTAGATACCTAGTTTGTAACAAATCCACTTTTAGAAAAGTAAGTATAAGTGGGAGTTAGCAGCCAGCTCATTCAATTAGTAAATAGCTCATCAAGTGAATACATTTTGAATCCAAAAGTGAGGTTAGATTAGTAGCACTTGATGTCATGAATATGTTGATTGGCTGCTTAAATTCCATTGGATAACTACCTTTAGTTTTATATATGATGATTCAAATTCCATCTACTGTAATAGTTCAAATTGGTTTCTTTAATACGATCTGCTCAGTTTTTCCACCTAAACAAACAAACAAACAAAAAAAACCTTTGTGTGTGCATGTCTTTGCACTGATATGTAGACATATAGACGTTCTATACATTTTAACATTGTGTGGACATATGCCTGGTTCAAACAATGGAAAAAAATGTAGGGTTAGGGCTAAGTTATGAACTACGTTTAGTTTAGGGTTAGGTATGTAATGTGAAGTTAGGTTTAGGGTAAGGGTTAGGCTGTAGGAAGTCAATGCAATATCCACAAGTATAGAGAGACAAGTGTGTGTGTGTGTGAGAGAGAAGTTTGTACAGGTAAATTTTGCATTACATCCACTGTTTTGGACTCCTAAAGACCTTTACTCCATGGATAGAATCAAACCAGCAGCAAATTGGTGAGGACTTCTCGAAAAAAATCAATGAAAACTGGACTCAGTCAGGCACAGCGGTGCGTTCAGGACACGCCGCTGTCAGGAGCGTGTGACACTGGTATCGATCTTAACTCTTAGACGACTTGAAATTTCTGACTTTCTGCTCACAGAAAGGTAAAATGATAAAGCACAGTCTCAAAGGCTTAGAAGTTAAAAAAACATGTCTTTTTGTCTTCTTGCTGAACCAAAATAAAAGCCTTGCAAATTAGCTTAACCTATGAGAGCAAATAAGTGCACAAGTCTGCACTGTCGTGAATCATAATGGGTATTTTTCACTTTTTTGCATGCCCCCCCCCCACCCCACAATATCCATGCATGCATGGTTGCAGAATAAGTGAAGAGAAAGAAAGTTGCTCACATAAAATAACAAAAAAAAAAGACTGTTTACAAAGTGTAGCTAAGAGGATTGTGTATCAGACTGTAGCAAACAGATTCTTGTCCAAATCCTGAACCATCACTCAGCAGAAAACGATCCTTGAGCTGATCAGCTTTTCGCTGAAGTCGGTGACATGACAGGTCATAAAGTGCTGCAGCACAGAAAGAGGAAAGCAGGATTTTAGCCCTACTAACCAAATCATGCTGCTTTCATGGTGAAAAATGTTTTGCTTGACTAAATTTGGAGGGTATTCTGATTAAACAGCATGTTTGGTGTCTTCGTTGGCAGTTTTTCTTTTTTCCTCAAGAGTTGATGGACCCCTATCATGAATTTACATAATTGTATTTGTGTCACAGCTGAACAAAGTTTGTATTACATTACACCTAATAAGATTTGCTGAGATGTTTGGGGGTTCAAACAAATCATTAAACAAAAATGTTTGACCATGTCTCTTATTAACTAAATTTAAAAAGTGAAACGATTTATTAACTACATTTATAACTCGTGATTTTAAAACATTTAATCAGTTCTGCATCTGTAGTTTATCAAACATCAGATAGCAAAAGCGAAGATTACTAAGGATAGATAAAAGACTAAAAGACATTTATCAAATTTCTGACCTTTTCTACCCTTTTCTTTGACTGAAACCAATTTTTCTGTGCTTTGTATTATATTGTCTGAAAAGTATGAAACTGCTACCCTGAGCAAAAATGGTTTCAGATGACCTTTTAGAAGAAGTTTATTTTTATTTACTTAAGAGAAGAGTACATTTTTACTGACAGTATCACTTTTTTTCTAATCTGTTTACAGTTAACTATTAAAAGGCTATGAAAATTAAATAGGATAAAACTTATCTAAAAAACGAAGGTAAATGGACTGTACTTATACAGTATACATATATACTTTATACTGTATATATATATTTTTTCTTGCTACAATTTGTGTCCTCATTTACCCATCCACACACATTATTAGACCTCACTACAAAGCTAATACAGATGAATCAATCTACAGAGGCTAATCACTACTTTACATCACACTCACACACTTATGGGACCCACGTTCGAGGCAGTGGGGGTTCAGCGTATTGCCCAGGGACACCTCGACATATGACGGAATAGCGGGGAATTGAACTGCCATCTTTTGCATTAGAGGACCAAATCCACTAACCACTCTGCCACAGCCGCTCCAAAGGCAGTTAATAAAAGTTTTACCTAAAACACATGAAGTCATCTGAACTTCGCACTTGTTTATAGAAAATAACAACTGAGTAAGCTCACCTAAAATAGCCACCACCTCATCATCCTGAATGACCTCCAAGGATCCTGACACCACGAAACAGAGGCTGTCCACACTTTCACCAGCGTGGTAGATCAGATCGCCAGGAGCGCAGTGGATCGTCTGAAACTCCATGGCCAGAGCTCTGAGACACCCATCGCTGGCCAGTCGGAAAGCTGGGTGCTCTTTGAAAACCTTCCGGTTAAGATGAACACAGATGTCTGCTCTCATGTCCTTTGGACAAATCTGCAGCACCTGAAAACAAAAAGGGAGATGGTTAAAGGCTGGACGGTGTTCAGATAAAATCAAACATAGTGAAAGGTGTATTTTTATGTTGTAAACTGTTGTTGGATGTGCTAATCATCACAAAACCATAACTGTGACTTGGCTTAAAGTAAAAGCTGTAATTTATTAGTTTTGATCATAAACGTAGAAGGCTGCAAGATCCCTGAAATTAAAAAGTACATCTTGTCCTCCCGCTGTGCCCTTTAACCAGCTGTAAAAAGTTGCTTTTTTCTTTTATTTATTTATTTTTTATGGATGTCCAGCTGCTGTGATAGATACAGTGAGGTCAAAAACAACTCAAGTGATTCTTCTCTGAAGTGAGAGGCCACTTCAGGAGTAGGATGCTTTCCAGACTGATTTATAAAATGAATAAAAAACACCCAACCTCATGCAATCTTCATTTTGACTTTTTCTAAGTAGATCTATGGTGAATTATCCCTCCTAATAGTGGCTCTGTTTATATGTGTGTGTGTGTGTGTGTGTGTGTGTGTGTGTGTGTGTGTGTGTGTG